TGACGTGCGTCATCGAGAGCCAGTCAAGACACTGACGCCGTGTCGAGGGGACATGCATTCTCGCCTGCATCAACGTGATATTGAGGCATCTTCGAGTTCTGTCACCGGGCCTGGTTGGGGTTCATCTTGTGTTCATCGCTCGCTTGAAAGAGAAACGACATGTTTTTAAATGGACGCTGGTCGTGCGTGAGGAAAGAGACAGTAAGACGGGGTGATGTCAGACGTTGGAAATGTCAAGTCTATGACTCAAGCAGCGTGTGCTGACGATGTCGTCACTTGGCAGGTTAGGTGTCGTGTAAGCCAGCGGAGCGAGGAGAAAGGGGCTGCGAATCTCAGCAGTGCGAGATTGAATCATGATTCAATGCTCTGAAACAGCGTTCATCCAATAGCGTGAATGGTTTAGTGGTAAAATTCTCCGTTGCCATCGGGGAGCCCTGGGTTCGATTCCCAGTTCACGCAGTACATCAATCTTTTGCTTTCATCAAGAGACTTTTGTTTCGTCTTCTTGTCGCTTTCTTTCTATTGGAACGAGTGCCCATGTCGAGATGACATGATGGTTCTACTGGAACAATTTCGCTTTTGCGGCTTTCATTAGGAGATACGCCTAGGCTGCTTGCCAGCGGCCCCTTGATTTGTATCAGCTCGGTGTGAACAAATATTGAGCCTTCTCCCAACTCGACTGAACTATAGTCGGGTTGGAGCGCTGACTATATTGCAACTTAGGGTCTTAGTGAGAGTACAGTTCGTTGAAAGGGGTAACGGTACCAACCAATTGCAGTCCACCAAGGTTTCACTCCGCTGAGGCATGCAACTGTAACTTGCCTTAGAACTCAATTGCTGGTCCCCTTTGCTTTGATCGCCAGCGAAAGCTGGACCATGCCAAGTAGCAAGTCGTAGACATTGCTCGTGTTATTTTGTATCGAGAAGCAGTACTCGATGTTGATTTGCTTTGGCTGCTTCAAGTCCTATCAAGCCGGAGCGACATGCACGATGAGGGTGTGATCCGACGACAACGATGATATGATTAAACCCAGCCACACGCTAACTTAAGAAATAGTCTATATTGCAGTGATTAGTCTCGACTATGCAAATGAAGATTTTGAATTGCTGCCCATTGGCCAACCAATTCGCGCGACCGTGAGGAAGAGCGAAACACGTTATAGCCATTCTCTTCCGGACAGAAGATCTGACAGAAGACGACATTATCAGTCTGTCGGCAAAATTTCCTTCTGATGCATAGGATGGCTCTTGACGGAGCACTCCTTGATAACCTGTTGGATGGCGATGCATCAGAAGACAATATCTCTTCCTCTCCGCCTACGCAAGAGAAGCCTCCTGAGCGCAAACGAAGAGGATGAACTGGGACACTGATAGACCTGAGGAAGGATGAATTGTTTGTTCTTCGTCTTCGTCGCCCTTGTTCTTTCCAAAATGATCCTCTCACATCCAAGATACTAGAGTCCGCCTCAAACTATCCACAGCTAATGGATGTGTAAGGGCGCTCCGACTGGGACTATCGCGGTGATCCTAGCTGACACTGTCCAGATATCATACTACTCCCAGTGGACACTATTTGCACAGATGTCCATACAGCCATGCCATCTTCATCTTCTCAACAGCATTCGATCTTCTCAATCAAGTGTCTGAAAATCTTCCCCTCAAAAACCATTGCATGTGATGTGCTTTGAAAATTGCCGGCTGTTCAGGGCCAGGTTGTGCGCATTTCCCATCTATCCGTCGCAACCCAAGGTGCATGCCGATCATTTTCCCGCCGGTCGTCTCGACAGCCGCGCGCCTGGGAGATCCGATAGGGCAGGTTTCATGCGGATGTGATCGTCCCAGGGCCAGAGTGATCGACACATTTAAGCTCATCGCGATGGGCAATCATATCAAACCCCCAGAAACATAGTGAATCACGTACTACTTCCTAAAAGCAACCACGCTCAGCATCACATCACGTTGTAGATCATGGAAAGGTAGCAAGATCAAGGATGTTGAACACGTCAATTCAGGAACCGAGGCGGCACCGCCATTTCCTCCAGCCCCGTTCATCTTTCGTCTCTATCCGTTGCTTCCCCCCCCCCGGTCTTTTTTACAGGTTTAAAATAACGGGTCATGTAGTATATACAAAGAATCATGGGGGAAAGGGAGAGAGAGATAGCCATCGTAAGGACAGACTCCCTAAACCACGCCATGCATCGCAACGTCTCACTTTGGGCCACCAGGACGAGCTGGCGACTTAGCGGCGGAGGGCGGCGGCGCGCTTGGCGGCGCGGTACTTCTTGGCGGCGGCCGAGTTGCGGCGGACGCGGCGGCGCTTGCAGGTGGTAGGAGGCTGGTGGTTTGTGTTAGCAAGAGGGCATCAGCACGAAAGAGGAACGCAAGGCGATGGCTTACAGAGGTGGGAACAGGCGCCGCGGTGGTGGTGGGGGCGGCGGGCTCCTCAACGACGGGAGCGGCGGCCGAGGTGGTGGCGCCGGCAGCGGGAGCCGTGGTGGTGGGAACGGCGGGGGCGGCAGCAGTGGTGGTCGGGGCGGCGGGGGGAGCGGGAGCGGGAGGGGCAGAGCCAGTGCCGCTCGTGGTGAAGTCGATGCAGCTCAGGTAGGTCTGGCCGGCCTCGTCCGAGTCCCAAAACCACTGGAGGACGCAGTTGCCGGCGGTGGCGCACTGGGCGGGCAGGGTGGCGGGGAGGTCGAAGCTGAAGTCGGTGTTGTTGGCGGCGACACCGGTGCGGGTGGAGGCGTAGTTGGTGAACTCGATTAGCGGGGTGCCGATGATGGTGTTGGTGGTGGTGTCAACGACAGAGACGTTGGCGATGCCGGTGTGGGGGGCACCGATCCGGACGAGCATGTTGACGGTCTCGCCGGGGCTGTAGGACTGGATGTTGGCGGCGGGGTTGTCCTCGAACTTGAAGGCCTTGCAGAGGTTGAGGTTGCAGTCGGCCGAGGTGAGAGAGGCGTCACGGCCCTGCTCCATGCCCTGGATGTTGCCGAGGGGGTCGGAGTTGATCATGTTGAACATGGTGTTACCGCAGGCGGCACGGAAGGCATCGCCGACGGGGCGGGGCGGGGGGGAGGTGACGATGCCGTGAGCCGAGACGGCGGCAACGATGGAGAGGAGGGACAGGATCTTGGAGGCCATCTTGTCGGTTGGGGTTGTTCGGTTTGGTTTGGTTTGATGGTTGGTTTCGTTTATTTCGGAAGAAAAAAATGAAGAATCGTCCAGTGATCTACCTGGAGGATACGATGAAAAAAGAATGAATATCTTGGAGATTGTTTGAAAGAACGACTTGTGACTAGCACAGTAAAGAATGTCAGAGCGAACGAACGAGTAAGAGAATGAAACTCGAAAAAATGTAAACGGGCTGGATGGGAATGAATCAAAGAGAGGTCGTCTTGGAAGAACGAGCAGCCTGGGTTGATGGCTCTTATACCATCTCGGTCAGGCCAGGCCAGGCCCTGGTTCAGAGACGAGCAAGCCATCCATCAGATAGCCAAACTCGGTCTTGGAGCCTTCACGATGCTTGCTTTGCTCACCTCATGTCGCATCCCTGTCGTGGTCGTCCCCTTTCTGTCAACAGCCAATCTAACGGCTGGTCAGACCAGGCCGAGCAAGGCTTCGCTCCTTCATCACGATGCCTCGGTGGGCACTCAGGTCCTGGTCATACCCGCAAAAAGAGCCACGCAAAGACACAAGGGGGGGTCATAGGCGAGCAAGTGTCAGCGCTGGCGGCAAGGTTGGCGATTGGACAGGCGAGGTGTGGCCCGTCGTCTAAACCACGTTGAGGCTCATCGGCCGAGTTCTGGGCCCCACGATTCCCTGTCGAGAAAAACACTCGTACCCCCCGCCAGCCGTCCCCTGGTGAAGCTTCCAGGATGTCCAGGGCCAGGTTGAGATCCTCAGGCCATGCTCACTGTCCGTATACAGCCACAGAAGAGAGCCGACGACCCCCTGAACAGGGATCGTCTCAGGTGTCCGCATGTACTGAAACAGCGAGCGCCCCAACCTCACCCCTCTTCTCTTCGGTCTGAAGTTCTGCACCCTCGTCAGCCCTCCCAAAGCTATCTTTACCATCCTGTCATCACTGGTCACTCATCACTCATCACCCATCAGCAGCAAGAGGCTTGTCAGGTTTGACGCGCGCCTCTCCCGCCTGCCTCAGACTATGTCCCCCCCCCCAGGTCTTGGCCGGAAATTTGGCCAGTTTCAAGCAGACAGCACAGTCGCGCCAGTGAGAGGCCCCCCATCGCGGCGTCCACCCTCTTCCCGGACGCCCTCATGCGCCTTTCAATCCGCGGCATGAGCCACGCCTTCTTGATGTCATTTCCGTCATGCCCGCTCCCGTCGCTCGCTTGCTTATCGCTTCGGTCGCCGACTGTTGTGAAAAAGGAACTTCCCAGCGTCTTGGCCTGCCTGCTGTCGCTGGACTGGCAGCTGTCTGTCGGTTATGCCCGTTCGCGTGCTCGCGGTCCACGACTCGCGAAGTCGCGTGGTCGGCTGAGCGACGTTTCACATCTCGTTGATCCTCTGCCTTTGCCCCCCCCCTTCTCCCATCTATTCGCTACCGAACGTACTTGCCGTGCCATCACCTCGGCTGCCCCGTCCGATCTCGTACCACCGATCCTCTCACTGATCATCTCTGACCGTCCAGATGTAGCGATTTGCTGTGAAGCCGGCCATGCGACTACTCAATCTGAGAGCCCCCCCTACCGCCCAGCCCTTCCCCCCTAGACTGGACCACCACAGCGGCAGAGCCAGGGCGGCGGAATCGCCAAGCTGTGACGGCCCGGACTCGGATCCGAACGTGGGGGCCAGCTCCCGACAGACATGGGCACGAAACCGAGAAAGAAATTATCCTTCACTCGAGATTGGCCGCTCCAAGGGGGGAAGAGGGCCACAATCAATAGAGGAGAAAAATAAAATAGCCATTTTAAGTCATCACAATCGTCGTCAGCGTACAAATAAACGTCAAAGCACCTCCCCCTCGCTTGCTCATCCATCTACCCTCTCCAACTGAAGTGTCGCCTTGACGACGCCACAGGAACCTTGTGCGGTCCCACGCTCTCCAGCGTCGGCGTCACCTTCTTGAACAACCCCGTCTCGCCGTCAATCTCAAGCCTGTCAATCGTCGTCTCCCGCCGGAATCCGCCGCCGCCAGGGATCCCGAATCGGTGGTACACAATGTACCAATCGTCCGTCCCGGGCACATTGAGCACGGAGCTGTGTCCCGTGCCCAGGATGCCTTGCGAAGGATCCTTTTCGAGGATCACGCCGTGATACGTGAACGGGCCGAGGGCATTGTCTGCTGTCGCATATCCCACGCGGTAATTGACCGACCCCGTATCGTCGATCGAGTAGGTGAGATGGTACACCCCGTCACGGTAGTTCATGAAGACGCCCTCGCGGAAGTCCACGAGTCCTTCCAACACCCGTGTCGTGCCCGCCTTGAGCGACACCATGTCATCGCCGAGCTCCGCCACGAGGCCCGGGTTACCATTGCCCCAGTATATGTACCACTTGCCCGTCTCGGGGTCCTCAAAGGTTGCTGGATCGATCGCCTGGCCCGTCTTGGGCGTTCCGTCGTTGAGAATCATCGCCTCTGGTTCCGCCGTGAACGGCCCTTCAGGGTGGTCGGCCACCGCCACGCCGATCGTCTTTCGGTCGTAGATAGCATTGTGTCCGCTGAAGTAGAAGTAGTACTTGCCGTCGCGCCGGGCAATCGTTGGCGCCCATGCGTTGCCCGTCGCCCATGGCACGTTGCCGTTCTCTCCATCGAGCGTCAGGAAGGGCTTCTTGCCGCGCGTCCAGGTCACGAGGTCAGCCGACTTCCACCAGTAGAACACATTGCCGCCCCAGCCCTCGAAGCCGTCCGTCGTCACATAAAGGTAGTATGTGTTGTCGAAGACGGCAATGTTCGGGTCGGCCCAGAGACCGGGGAGCACGGGGCTCCGCATCTCCACGGCCGAGAGAGTCCACTCGGTTGTTGAACCATCGCTGTTTGTTATCGTGTAGACCATCTTGGAAGATAGATCTACCGCCGTGCCGGACTCGGGCGAGGCACTGACACCGTCGGCCGTGACGAAGGTGGGGGCGAGATTTGTGACATCGGTGCCAGGGACGACAGGAAAGATGACGGTATGGAGCGTTTCGTTGACGATCGGGTCAACCTTGAGCAGGGTTCGGTCGGCTAGTCAGAATTGGCTGACTGGCTCTGCAGCCTGTCGGATAGTTTTGGAGTTCTTGGATCGGCGAGCCCGACGGTTGCTGAGAGCGCTGACAAGAGCCTGGTGCTCAGCGGCCGTCACGCCAATAACGGTGCCGTGCCGCGGGCTCGTAGGCAGGCTGTATGATGCAGAAACCTTCCAATCGGGGTTGTTCAGATCAGTAGTCTCGAGGGGAATGTAGCCACGGCCACCATACTCGTCGGCAAAGAGGTAGAACTTGTCGCCGTTGACGTCGTTGGGGTTGGACCGGAAAGCGGTCGGGCCTTCAACGGCACTGAGACCAGCATCACGTCCGATGCAGCTGGCCTGAGTCGTCCAGCCGTCCATACCTGCAAGCAGAGAGTCGGAAGTCTCCTGGATGATGTCCCTGCACCCGGTGGCGGAGCCCTCATCTTTGGTGAAGCGGTAGAGAACACCGTTAGCCTGGAGGACAGTCGTGTCGATGCGGGCGTCTCCGGCATCCTGCCAGATCTTGGGCTCGGAAAAGGTGACAAAGTCGCGCGTCAACGAGTAGAGCATGCGGTGATACGTGCTGCCCGTGTGCTGGGGATCGTTCTCGGCATAGAGCGAAGAGGCCCAGAAGACGGCGTAGGAGCCGCTCTCGGCATCCCAAAAGGCCTCAGGTGCCCACGTGTTGCCGGCCGTCTCGGGAGAGACGAGGATGTGGCGCTGCTCAGACCAGTTGATGAGGTCATTTGATTCCCAGACCTCGAGGTAGAGGCTGCCCTGGCGGACCGCGGAGTCCCAGGACGTGCCGCTGCCGATGGAGAGGTCGGTAGCGATCATGTAGAAGGTATCGCCCTCGGGCGAACGGATGATGAAGGGGTCTCGCAGGCCTTTGGTGCCATATTTGGACCGCAGAACGGGCTGGCCTCCGTTCAGTTCCTGCCAGGAGAGCGCATCGTTACCGTTGCTCGCGGCGAAAAAGATGTTCTCGCCCTCGAGGCTGGAGCCTGTGAAGTAGGAAAAGGCGTAAGCCTCGAAAGCGTCAAGCTGGACGGCTTGACGAACCGAGGCGTTGAACTGGCGCTCGTGCTGGGCCCCCTCGAATTCAACAGAAGCCGTCAGAACGACCTCCTCAGTTGCAGACTGGCGCTTCACAACGCCGTCTGTCGCCAGCACATCGACATTGCTGCTGTGCCAAGTGATGGCAAGACCATCCGCCTCGGCGGGAAGGTGAATGTTTCCGCGGACGTCACCGATGTTGACAAGTGATAGTGCGGCCAGAGCCTCCTCAGCGCGAGCTGCGAGACAGACGTCGGCCAGGGCCAAAAGAAGAAGAGGCGAGGAAAAAGGCGAGCGGAGCTGCATGCTGGGCTAGGATTGCTGGAAATGTAGTACTTTGCTGGAGGGGCAAAGTCGGGCCAAATGCTGAGAGATAGCCCGCCGAGGCAGGTCTTCTTATACGTGACGCAACATGAGGTCGATCGTATTGCCTTAAAGCAAGCAGTCGTCAATTGCCAGCGAGCCAGACTACGCGACGGTATAGATGGCACCGAGAAGCGCTCGGCCGACGCGGCGTCTTGACCATGGGAACAGGGAAGCTGTACCGAGCGCCACCACGGACAGACAAGCGCGAATGCAGAGTGTACGGGTTGCGGCCGATATCCCCGCAAACGCGCCCCCCGCGATGGCGAAGGTGCCTTGGTCGTAGGCGTAGGAGCTAATCGAACAGGCTAGTCTGGTTAGAATGCGGGGACGTGAAGTGCCGTCCGGGGAGGGCCAGGTACAAAATCGGCTCTTCCCCCGCAGGCCAAGTGGTGGCATAGCGGACCAAAATGCCTTTAGGGCAGTGCTGTTATCCCGAATCCGGGCCGGGAAGGTGCTCGAATCAGGCGATGCATGCTTCCAATTTCGCGCTCAAATGAGGGGTGGTGATGTCAGGGCGCGGCCAAGTGATCGGCATGATGATCTTCTGGAGGAGTCAATTGCTCTTTTCGATCACGAGCCGGAGCCTAAGTGAACTTCAACTGGTGGGGCTCAAGCGCTCGAATCAGGTTGCAGAGCGAGGGCTTTGCGTGTGTGCATATGGGCGTCAGAGTTCTCCAGCATCCTCGGCATGGTTGCTGAGTCGAGGGCCATGATCGTGAAGCCATGGACTGGGTTGTCGTGGAGGAGGAGGAATCGCTTTTGCTGGTGCCGGCAGTCTGTTAGAGCAGCCAAACTGCCTGATTGAGATGGCAGGCATGGATAATTGATAAGCCGATACTGGCTTCCTCTTCTTTCTCCTCCATACAGGAACCAGGTCGGTGGCTATTTCCTTCTATGCCTTTGCGCAATCAACTCCTGCCGTGCTAGGAAAGCTAACATCCCGTAATTCCGTAATTCCTAAAAGTATGCCGCGGGGCAATCTGCTGTAAACTCCCTCGCTCTAAATCTCATACTGGCGTCCCTTTAAGTGTCTATGTTGTTATTGGCCTTGTAAAGGAAACTTAACAACCAGCTACGCCGACGTTAGGCTGATCACACCGCCATTGTTGATGTCAGGTGACGTGCCCAGCCGCTGCAATGTCTTGGTAAGCATACTAAGCCAATGAAAAAAATCGCACGCGGATGGCACACCTTTTGTAAATCCGGAGCCCAACAATCCTCCAGGCGTATGTGAGAGACATTTATCATTTATAGCACAGTCAGTAAGGGACACTTACAGCACAGTCTGTAAGGGAGGTTCTGGTGATCAGACCCCACGCTATTACCACTGCTTCAGGTGCCTCGACGACATGTAACGAGGGGGCTGTGAACCATGATATTGGAGTCAGAAGAGCAAGTTTCACTGCAATCCATAATGTCTTGCCAACAGACACGGCCAATCTGGTCATCGACCTAAAACCCGGGAACCAGTTCATGCCCAGACTGAAACCCTGACTTGCCTGATAAGTGCAGTGACAGTCATGGCATCTGCCTCTCAACTTCCAGCTCATTAATTATCCAGGACCGCGAATGAGGTGTGTAGCACATGATGGAAGACGAAATAGATCCCTAAATTCCAACTAAACCCTGAGGGAATCACGATGTAGAGGCAGATGGCCTTCGTCACCCAACATGGCAGCGCGCTCCTTGGAAGCCGAGCAGGGTATCGTGGCGATGGAAACCACGCCAGTCATCGACTTTTACGCCCCTCGGCCGAAAAAGTCGCAGCTTGGAAGAATCTGTGCACCGGCCACGCAGGCCTGCACACCTCGACTTTGAGTGACGCGGCGAAGTGCGCGCGGCTAGCGATCCACACACTATCAGAACGGTCCAGACCTGAAGAGGCCGATACGGAGCACCATTTGCCTGTGGAAGAGGAGCAAGATTCAAGCGCCATGATACGAGTCGGAATTGCCGTGGATGACATAGGCAAGATGCACCCAGTGCTCATCAGGTGCAGTAGTGGTTGGGGAGGTTTGATGTCCCATCTCGTGTCTTGCGTGACCCAAAGTCGAAGCTATTGGCTGCAGATGGTGGTGGGTGGTGATCCAGCAAGGAATGGTACCTCATGGACGAAGGAAGTGGCAGAGGAGGAATAGCATCAGGAGAACCTTTCAGAAAAAAACATCTTCTAGTGTGGTGAGTGACGTGGGACAAGAGCTGTACGTGAGTGATTGGGGTCCTTGTTGGGATTGGGGCGACGCGCGATGCTGCTGGCGACGACGTTGGCTTGCGTTGTTCGCCTGTGGTCGAATCTCTGTCGAGCGAAGGGGCTCGTCCCTGGTGGGGGTGGAATGACGAATGTTGGCTGCGGACGATTGGCGGGCCGCGCTTGCACACAGTCAATGATGGGCAGCAGGCTTTTGCTGGCAGTGGAAGCTTCGGAGGGTCCGTGATGGGGGCAAGATCGCCGTGCATTTTGCTGGCAGTGGTAATATGTGGCTTGAAGTAATGGTGGTACATGTACATGTAGTGACGGCAGTGCTGGTGTCCCTTCAGGCCCCCAGACTTGGTTGTTGATGCACTGCCAGACAATCGCTGGCCATTGGCATTGCGATTGGCATATGGGGCGGAACGTTCGCCATGGATCCATCTTTATGATTGAAAATTGGCTTCTAAACGAAGTCCGCCAGCCCTTGTTCCCGTCACCGACGCCAACACGTCAGTCAGTGAACGGTGTGCCTGCAGCTCTCGCAACTTCAAGGAAGATGGCATGAAGTTCATTCCGGGCACGCAGAGGATGAGCAGGTCAGCAGCATGGGTGGTGTTTTGGAGGTCCACCGCGTAGCCAGTCGAGAGGCGGCAAAGACGTCCTCACCCACGCAATCGAAACTCGTTGGAATGCAGAAGACCGACTGACATGGGCCAGAGGCTCCGTCATTGAGCGGGCCGAGTGAGCAGGGGGACCAGATTGACTCAAGTCGACCCAATTTTCGGTGGGCCAGGCAGTGCAAGAGATTATCTATAGACAAAGTGAAGACAAAGGTCCGACAAAGAGATCTAACTCATCTTGGGTACTCTGCCCCCAAGGACAATGCCGCCCAGGGCCCCGAATCGACAGACGGTCGATGGGGCTTGGGGGAAAAAAGCTTGTGTGTGTGTGCTGGCATTCGTTCCACCGCAAGTGCAAGTGGCTTGTTTGACGTGCGAACGACTGCAGAATTGTTTCTTGTGCCCCCCCCAGTGTCAGGAGTGATTCGACACTCGCAGATGCTCTGCATCTCCTGCACTCCCACAGACAGAGAGGGTGCCAGGCAGCCAGGGCAACGTTCTGGAAAGCCAATCAACGACCCCTAATCTGCAGAGGTGGGCCAAGAATACGAGAATGGAAGCACCTGGTGGCCCACCCGAGCCGCTGGACCAACAGCACTAAGGACGGCTACGGGGAGCCTAGCGCCGTAACGGGAACGCCTAGACTGCACAGTGCTCCTCGTCAGCTGCACATGCGCCTCCACTCTCCCACACCCCCAAGAGAATTCTCTCCGTGCGCTCCGCCTGTCCTGTCAAAGTCCTACGCTGCCTGACTTGCCTCACCTTGTCCATCCCTCTCACCACTCTCCGCCCCTACCCATTCAAGTCCACGCGACAGTAAACTTCTTCTTTGATTGTTTCCTTTCCTATCCCCCTGCTTCGGCTTCCCTACACTCGCTCTCACCCCATTTCTAATATACTTTTTTATTGTTCAGCCCTTCGGCTCTGTCACGCCGTCGTCAAGGCACCCGTCGATCGCCATACGAAGTTTCGCCCCTTCCGTCGCCTTGTCATCATCGCCTTGAGTCTGAGTTGTCGACCCTCCTCTCGAACCCAGACATCTGGCGTTGCTTGCCCTCAGACGGCCCCTGAAGCCTTGATACATCGTAGAAGCCTCTACACAGTATCACATCTACTCGGCGACACACGTCATTAACAATGTACGCCATTCGGTTGATGCACCTTCTCCTGGCGACCCTCGGCTTCATCGCCGTCGCTCAGGCTGTCCCGCCCAACGTCGAGGGACCCAACCAGAATGCCGTGGTCAGGCGGCAGGATACAGGCAACTCCCCCAGTGTAGCGCCCGAGGCATCGACTCCCGTTGTACCCTCCGCCTCGCCGTCCACAGCAGCCCAGCAGACGACGACGAGCGCCGCCGAAACGACCACGACGCCTGCCGCCACGAGCTCCTCCCCTGCGACCACCGCCCCGAGCACAACTCCTGCTACTTCCACTCCGGCTACCTCCGCCAACGGAGGCGGCGCTGACACCACCTCCACACCCGCCCCCTCGGCCTCTCCCTCCAGCGGCCAGTCCGCCCCCACGTCCAGCGCCCAGGATAACAACAACAACAATGGCAACAACAACAACGACAACACCACGAACGGAAGCGACAACGAGACCACCACAGCTGCTGACGCTCAGACTACCGCCGAGCCTGTCACCTCGACCGTTAAGACCGTCTTTGTGACGACCAACGCCCAGGGTGAGACGACTTCCATGACCTCCGAGAGCGTCGTGGTCAGCACCCCCGGCCTGTCCGATAACGACAACAACGGCGGCAGCGGCAGCGGCATGCCCACCAAGACTCGCAATATTGTCATTGGCGTTGTTGTCGGTGTTGGTGGTGCCATCATTCTCGGTGCTCTGGCTTTCGTCGGCTTCCGTATCCACAACCGCAAGAAGAGGCAGGAGGAGAATGACGGCCTGATGGACTACAACACTGCTGGCACCAGCGCTTTCAACAGCGAGCCCAAGTCTGATGCCATGTCTGGCACCACTGCCAACAACAATAACCGTTCGCCCTTCCAGACCAACCTTGAGAGCTACCACCAACCGACGCAAGTGAATGCTTCGTCCAACTTCTGAGCTATTCGGCCAGATCAACGGTGCAACTAGGAGATGACATGATGGAGTGGAATTTTGATGAGCCGAACCTGTGGATGACGTTGCGGCACGGAACTTGGAAGACTCGAGTTCGTCTGAAGACTCCGCATCGAGACGTTGTCCTGCAAGGGCGAGCGGATGGGAGTTTATTGCGTTTGAATCTTGTTTTGTCACACTTCGACATTGGCACATAGCACGTTCATCTCGAACACTGGGTAATCGATAGACTGCGCACCTAGCGGCATTTCTTTTTCTTCATCATTTTACATACCCGGCCGACTTGAGCTCGTCTTGTCCGTGATCGCTTATGGAGGCCGTCTCGTAGCCCGAGTCATGTGGGATGAGTTCTTTTGGCCCAGGCCTGAGCCCATGCACATAGACTTTAATTCGAGAACATACTGCCATTCATTCACCACCCTAACCAGTGACAAAGCCTTTCTCCAAATTGACTGCTCATCATTAAGTCGCCCTTGCTTCCCAATGCAACCAATGTCAGGCCACCTCTCGGACGACGACGACCAAGAGGAGTCACGTGCAAGCCACCAGATGACCGTTCAGGCGCGTCTCAGGGGCGTTTCGGATGGCTCTCCCCCATCTTTCAGCAATGCTGTGCACGAGCACGCGAGAAGCACAAACCAACCCCTCTTCGCCCGACCAACTCAATCATTCTGCCACGGGCTTTGAAGATTTCTTGTGAGGGCCCAAACCGCGCACGAGAAACTTCAGACGAGGCACCGCATTTCCTCCCTCCCGCTCGCCGCCGCAATTTACCCCCGACAAGCACACTCCTCGACAACCCGATTACTCGATATCGCTCCCCGCTAGCGAAACGAACGAACGAACGAACGAACGACTTGCGCGCGCCATGCTCACCCGCTGGACGACCCTGCTCATGGCTGCCGTCGCCGTTTTGGCGACGGCCGGGCTGGCGATGGACATCAGCCAGGACCTGAGCGAGGAGCTGGCCATGGGATGGAAGATGGGCCTGCGGCCGCGCCAGAACGCGCAGAACCTGCAATTCTTCGACGGCAAGGTTGGCGGCGCTGGAGCGCCTGGGGTGCGTCTGCGCTGCGACCCCCGACAAACGTTATTTTGCTGTTCCGGGACTGACGAGCGGGGACGAACGAATAGATCACGCAGTCGAATGACCCAAACAGGCCGTTCTCGGTGGGCGGCGACACTTTTGTGAGTTCTCTCTCCGTGAGGCGCGATTGTTCGATCGGCGCATGCTGATGCGCGTGGGACCACCAGCCCGACTTTGACACGGCGGCCGGCCGGGCGTGCGACAACCAGAAGAACGACTGCGCCAGGCTGGCGAACAACGGCGGCGGAAACTTTGAGGTCAGCGATTGTGACAAGCAGAACAGTAGGTGTCCATTCCCGTCACTGGGTCATGCTTGACCGATGGCTGACATGATGCCAGACGACTGCAAGCAGGGCATCAGCCAGGCGGCGCAGAAGAGCTTTGATCAGAATGCTGGCGGCGGCGGCGGCGGCAACAACAACAATGGCGGAAATAACAACAACAACAACAGCCCGACGCAGCCTGAGAGGGCGTTGGTGAGCTCCGATGCCAACTTTGACTACTTCTGCGATGTTTGAAGGCGGGTGCGAGAGGTTGGGTAATGTTTTGATGATGATCACTTGTTGATAAGAGAAGGCACTGCCTTCGGAGGGTTTCTGCGACGGCTAGGTTCGAGGGTATGCGGCATCTTGTCGATGCTCGAAGGTTCAAGGCTGCACACAACACTTGTAATAGGTCCGCGGGCCTTTTCACTTGGTTCAGTTCTATCGCAGTCCCTACGTTTTGTGATCCCTCTGCCAGCCATTTCCCAGCCGTGGTATCTTAAAAAGCATCAATTGCGGGGTTGATCTGGCGGCACTCAACCGAGTGAGCGTTCTGTCTCAGCCGGAGTTTGGTAGTGAGATATCGTGGGACTTCTTTCGCGCCACCCACTGTCCCGTTGTGTCTCGCGGGTGGCAAGTAGGCAATGGCAGGAAGAGCAGTAGGGCCCCATCGCGCCGGCGCGATTTGAGAAACCCTAACCACAAAGAAAACCCTGAGTGCTGGTTTAGCCTCCTGTTGGTACGAAGCCAGCGCCAGGAACGCCTGCGCAAGGAGCAAGAGCGGCGTCGGCCCGTTCCATATCCACAAAAAACAGGAGCGTGTAGTGTGAGGTCCAATAATTCTGGGTGATGGACGAGCATGACATGTCCGACGCGGACGATCGCGCAATGAGCCCGATTGCTTTTCCCACCATCGCGAAGCCACTTGAGGTCATCGCCATTTTGCGTCGGTGACAATTGTTGAGAAGGTGTGCCGCCGAGATGCACTGAGAGCTAGCCTGCAGGTAGGTAGGCATCGTGCGGTAGGACCCCTGGGTGGCTCAAGGATCTTGCATCCTGTCCCGCCGCCAGCCTGTGTTCGGGTACCTTGCCTTAGTAGTACCTTACCTGTACTTCAGCCGGGACATGTACCTTACTTTGTCTGCCTGGCCTGCAGCCGCCGTGCTTCTGGGCCCTGGTACAAACATGTGCAGCGCGAATGCTTGGGCCCTTAGGTCATGTCACCCGTCCCATTTCTCTTGGGATGTAAGGTACCGTGTAGAGACACAATGGTGGACAGCGGGTAGGAGTGTACAGACTGGAATGGGGGAGAAAACGGTGAACAAAGCCTCCCCCAAGAACGGGTCATCGTGTGGCATCGATCCTTTCCCCGTCATGGCTGTGGGGAGTGTGTGGCGGTCAACTCTAGGGGTTCAGATTGCCCGAGGCCAAGAGCCTGGTAGGTCAAAGACCCGCTGTTAGGGAGCACCTTCGTCAAGCGGGAGGTTGGCGCCAGCCCCGAGGTACATCCCATCTGACCAACACGTCGCCCGAAATTGGGCGCTGGTCCCGCCTCATTAGACGGAAAATGCGCTTCCCTGTATGGCTCCTTCCCCGGGCTGGGTCGAAAATTATTATTGCAGCAGGCACCACAGGAGCACACCCACTGATGAGCTGGCTCCACGACACGTCCCTCGACCCAGCCGCCAGTGGAGTCTCTCACTTTAGGGGCAGTGGAGTTCCAACGTGCTAGGCGAACCTCCCTGGCCACTGGACCCGGTCCCCCAAAGTCCACGACCTCGAGCTTCCCTCGACCTGCTTTGATCCAGACCTGCCCTGCTGTCCAACCGTCCCGTTCTTTGTCGTCGATACCACCAGTCCCCCAGTCGCTCGACGGTCTTCTCACGACCATCCTCTCTGTTCGGCATCCGCAGACGCCGTCACCCAGAGCCATCACCGATGCATATAGCTACAACCAGCTGTTGCTCCATCGCGTCGATGCCCCTCTGTCCGTGATCTCGTAATACTCCCACCTGGCCCGTTCTCGCCTGAACCCCTGTACTCAGCATAGCATTTCAGCGCCTGCCAACTTTTTCCATCGACCTGCCAGAGACAGAGCGCGTCGCGACAAAGGTTCGACCCCTATATCCATTCCCTCCACCACGCCGCCACCGACTCTCTCACTCCTCGTCCCGTCTGCCACCCCCATCCCAGTCTACTGCTGGATCGTCGCAGCTTGCTGGTCGAGAGAAACCCGATCACGGCACAGGGTCGTCATTTTCACGAAAGAGCAATAGTTGCAGACGACTCGCCTCTCGTCTGCGCTGTGCTCGCTGCAGTGAGTGCACTCTCCGCCGACCGACCGGACCGACCGACCATACAAGGCCCGGTCAGGACATTTCAAAGTCTCTTCACTGCTGACATTGCACGCGTCTGCAGCTCTCCTCAAAGACGTCTTCCCACGCATCCCCGTCACCCTCTCCCGGTCCCTCCGCTCGGGACGGCAGCGGCTCTGCCCAACTGCCACCTCACCCAACCCCGGCATCTCCTGCCTTGTCGACCGCCTCAACAGCAGCCGACGATCAAGACGCCGGCTCCTCTCCAGTTCTTCCGCCACTCCCTGCGCCTAGGCTACCTGGGCGGGCGCAAGATCTTCTGAGGTCTACACCCAACGAAGTCGAGGACGAGGAAGCTCGCTTCGTGACTGCCAGCTGGGGCTCGCCATACTCCCAGGGCGACCGTAATCATCTACGCGGAGAGAGCTTCAGCAGTGACCCTTCCGAGGACTCGCCTCTCCATCAGCTAGCCTTCCAGACCCCGTTTCTGCGTCCACCGCCCCAGTTTGCTCCAGGACAGGTTGCTCAATCAGACAGCTTCGTGAGCGCCGCGCAAGTCCTCGCCAATCGGGTTCGAAGACCAACGCGTGGCCTGACTGAGGACTGGATCCGTCAACATACCGCTGGCGAGAACTCTGAAAGTCGCCATTGGCTTAGTGACGGAGAAGACGGAAGCGAGCACTCTTCGCTGAGCGGCTCGCGATCTGGTGAAGAGGGTCCTCTGTACAAGGACAGTCTTCAGACCCCCCGTGCCAAGCCAGCCACTGCCACGCGCATTGCTCGTCGCACATCGTCGCACCACCCCCGAAAAAGATCCAGCGTCGAAACATTAAAGCCCGAAACCAAGAACCAGGTCATCGGTTCTCCTCTTGTCAACATGACGTCCCCCGATCTCGACACCCCCAGCCTAGATGCTGTGAGCGATCTCTCCGTGCCCATCTCATCACAGGACACGCTCGAAAGGCCACAGACGCCGCCAAAAACAATAGCAAAGGTAGAAGCACTAGGGCCTCGAACGCCGGCGAGAGTCACCTTCAAGGAGCCTACCTTGACGCCCAGGCTGAGGAAGAAGGTTCCTTGGAAGGGCAAGAATATCTTGGTCCTCCTGCCGCGGGATGACGAACGTGGCACCGATGGCAGGGCTCCTATGCCTCTGACAGCCGCCGAAACAGAACGTATGTTCTCCTCTTGGGACGAGCTCGGATATGATATCTCTGGATTCGACCTCGAGGCCGCGCAAGGTAGCCTCCAGTCCGAAGAGGGATACTCCCAGAGCCGAAACACTTGGCCCGCAGACGAGGACCTCTCGAAGGAACGGGCAGATCGGTATTTCAAGGTTACACTGCCTGACCTGAATGCCTGGAAGGACTATGTGAATGAGCTTCAAGAGGCCAAGCTACGTGCGCTGGGCGTCTCTTTCGGCGACGAGGAGCCTGCGCCTGCTCCATCAATGTCACCCGCCATGACGGCGTCTGGATTGAGCAGGCAGCCTTCTGTGCAGTACCCGCCCCTACCTTTTTCGCCTCCTCTGCCGACGTCGTCGGCTTCGAGCAACCCCGCCATACCTGGATTCCCGTTTCCTTCGCACTTCATGCCTGGCGGACGGGCCTCTGCCGCCCAGAGCCCCGGCGTGCCGTCGAGTGCTTCACCAGCTTTCACTCCTGGACATGCTTCAAAGTTCAACCCGCGCCAGTCCATTTCCATTCCCATGGGGCACTCTCCTTTCCAGCCTGGCCATCACGCGTCGCCTTCCCTCGCAGGCGGGCACTCCCCTTTCACGCCGGGCCACCATGCTTCACCCTCGCTTGCTGGCTGGCCCATGCACCATGGACCTGGTCGTATCGATTCGCCATCGCTTTTGCACGGTGTCTTGTCTCCTGTCTCGCCCTACACGCCCGATGGCTTCCATGCAGCCAGTCCAATTTACCATGCGCACCAGCGTCACCAGTCCTTGCAATACCCCATGATGCCACACCAGCAGCTGGCGCAGCAGCCCTCAGCGAGAGCTTCGCCACGCTTGCAAGAGGTTCAGGAAGTTGACGAGGAGCCGATCAACCAGAGCCCATCGAAAACCCCGGAGCCTCACCACACGAACACGAACACGAACAATGATGACCTGCAGGCTGAGATTGATGACGCCGAGTACCATCTGGAGGAGCAGATGCGCAATGAGCTTGAGCACGACGACTACAGCCCCCACAACGAAGAAAGGACTGCGGATGAGTTGGTTTCTCTGCCCTCGGGCTCGATCTCCGAGGACCCCTCTTACATGCACAGCAGAGAAGCATCGATGCAGTTTCAGGCTCCAATGCACTTTGCGACTCAGATTGGAGACGGGCCTGAGCTGCAGCACCCTCGCCCCCACAGCAGAGGTCACTCGCTCACGAAGAACTACTTCCAAGACGAGCATCGTGACAACGCAAACCACGACGGCAGCAACAGTTTCAACGCCTGGCAGGATATGGAAACGCAGCAGGCAGACGACGCTGCTGAGATTGAGACGAATCCTAGCAATCTGGGCACGCCAGTGCAAGATTTCCACCTTGCCAACATCTTGCAGCAGCACCAGCGTAACTTTAGCACCGCCAGCAACCCGTGGAGCGAGGTTGCATCTGTGACCGCCAATGCGGGGAATCAACGACGCCTGAGCCACGCAAGCAAGCCTTCTCTCTCGAAACTCAATGTCAAGGCCCCCGAGTTCAAATTCAACCCTGGCAAGGAGTTTACGCCGAGTGGCCAATTTGTCTTTGGCAACACTGCCTTCCAACCACCGGCTCAGACACAAGTCTTCCATGCGGAATCAGAGCCGTTTGTGCCATCCGTTGTCTCGCCCTCCGGCCACTCGTTCGGTGCTCCTTCATTCTCTTCGAGCATGAATGCCGGCGTCGCGCCTTTCTCGCCCGGCACCAGTACCTTCAACTTCTCGATGTCTGGGCCTAAGTTCCGTCCCGATGCGATTCCCTTTACGCCTTCTGGTGGCTTGTCGGATGCCTTCACCAGCCCGAATGCTTCAGGCGCTGACACTGCTGCGACTGGCCCTAAGTCCATCTTTGGCAATATCAATCTTGCGGAAGCTCTGACTTCAAAGAAGTCGAAGGCTATCCCCATCGTCCCGCCAGTCAGCCGAGATCCTAAGCCAACTAAGGGAATTCCATATGAGGTTGATGAGGAAGGCCGTGTCGTCAACGCTGCTGGCCCCAAGCGGAGACAGGAAGTGGCCAGAGACGATGGCGATGACGTGCCTCGCTTTGCCGAGCCTACGCCGTCGCCCCAGCCTGCATTTGCCCAGCCCGTAGCATCTGTTGAGCAAGACGCCGTGGACGTGCGCTCCGGCGACGACGGCGATGCGACACCCGGCGACACGACAATGTCTTCCACCAGCGTGTCCGAACAGATGGTTGACTCCAAGGCCATTACGGCGACAAGTCCATCCGATGGCGGCAGAGATCAGCTGAACTGGACTCCCTTCGACTTCGAAAGGAAGAACGATGCGCAAGTGTTCAATGATGCCCGACCTTTCGGCCAAGACTTCTTCAAGAGGGGACACAAAAAGAGCCTCTCAGCTACTGCCCAAGCGTTCGTTCCTGGCGGGTCCTGGCAAAATGTTGAGGAGCCCGAATCCAATGTTGAGGATGATGAAGACGAGCAAGACCGGGACAGGGAGGCCACTATTGAGCCTCCCACTCACCAGGTCGAGGCTATTGACGCTCATGAAGTTGTGGCTGAGGCGGAGGAGGAGCAGATCGAGGACGCACGTGAGCCGACGCCAGTGTTTGAGCAGCCTCCTGAAGAGAAGACAGCCCACGTTCCTGTCGAGCAACAGAGCGACCAACCCCTACTGTCCAGGGGACTCGGGGCCTCCCGCTTTGCTTCGCCTCCACCGAAGCCCAAGGGCCTCAAGGCGTCTCGATTCGCATCGCCTCCCAAGCCGGCACACAGGGAGGTCGAGTTGCCGCCATCGCAAAGTTTGTCGCCCGATAGTCGCACCTCGAACTGGGCCGACGATGTTTCCGAGGAGTTGCCCCAGTCTGGCCCGGAGCACGAACCCACTTTCGAGGAGATCGATGCCATCATGGACCACCTCAACCAAAACGACCCTATGATGGGAGTCAACAAGCAGGCCACCGAGGAGCCTCGCTGGGCTCAGCCCAGTCCTACCAGGCACATCTCCATTGCCGACGTTACCAACTCTTCTCCCTTCCACTTGCAGCCCGCAGCCCATTCCACTGTGGGTGCGTCCAGCCCCGAGCCTCGCAAATACCACCAGCTTCCGAACCTGGCTCCGCCGATCCCCACAACCGAGTTGGAGGATCCTTTCGTCGATCCTCCGCAGAGTGCCCAGTCGTTCAACGCCCCTGTACACCGCCTCAACGGAAGCGAGGGCGTTGCCAACAGCGACTGGGATGGTACGTTCAGCGATGATGAGCAAGAGAAGCTCGGCCAGCGCGTTCAATTCTTCGATGGACGCGTTAACGATGTTGTCGGCGATCTTCTCGAGGCCCGCCTGCAACCGTTGGAAAAGACGCTGCTCGCCATCGAACGCCATTTCACTTCACAGGCAGGCACCTCAGCTCGTCGCGAGCGCCGCAGCATGTCCGCTGAAGTGCAAGAGAGCGATGCCGATGACGAAGACGAGGAGCCGGTCCTGCGTCGGTCAATGAGCCCCCGCCGGGATCGCAGGATGGACCAGATCCGTACCACCATTCTCGACGCTTTCGCCATGCAGCAGCGTGGAGTCCCCACATCGGCTCCTGCTGGTGATGCTTCCTCGGAAGTTGTCCTGCGGGCGCTGGCTGAGATGAAGGAGCAGATTGGCCAGAGCCTGCCCTCGGAGCCCCGTGGTGCTGAGCTCCGCAGCATCATCGAGGAAGTTGTCGAGCGTCGTCTGCCGCCTGTTGCGCAGCCCACCATTACGGCTGATGCCGACTCTGAATACAAGAGCAAGATTGCTGACCTGGAAGAACGCCTGCGCGTGGAGAAGGACCGTGCTGACAAAGAAACGACCAGCCGCCGTGAGTCGGAAGAGCAGGCAGCGGAGCTTCAACGGAATCTGCAGGCCGCAGAGACCCGTCTCGAGGTCGAGATCATGAACCGCAGTATCTATGATCAACGTTCTGTCGATCTCGATGAAAAGCTTAAGCAGCAGGAAGCCCAAACTGAAAAGGAGCTTCAAGCCCGACGCTCCGCAGAGGACAGACTCTCCGAAGTCCAGCGCCTGCTCCGCATCTCTTCTGAGGAGGAGAACCGCCTTCGCGAGGTCGTTGAAGAGCGTGACCAAAGGATCAAGGCGATTGAGGTGTCAGGCGCTAAGAATAATATGCGCATGTCGCTGCTCGAAGCGGACCAGAACAACAGCAACCATTCGAGGACCGAGCTCATCAAGAGGACCAACGTGCTTGAACACGACCTCCGCGAGGCTCGACAGGAAGCTCTGCACTTCAAGGCTGAGACTGACCGTGCGGCTGAGACTTCTCGTCGCCAGCTCAACGAGCTCGATCACGCACTCGAGGAGAACAGGCAGCAGCAGAGGTTCCTTGATACCCTCGGAACACAACTCCAAGAGAACGAGAGGGTACGCGAGAGCTGGCGGTCTAAGTTCCTGGCTTTGCAGGAGGAGATGACCACAGCAGCCCGCGAGATCACCGAGGAACACTCCCGCAGGACTAAGAGGGAGCAGACACTTGTTGCTCGCCAAGAGGTTCTCGATGCTAGGCTCCAAGCCGAGGCTCGAACTAGGGAGCGTCTTGAGGCTGAGATTGAACGTCTTGAGAACGGCGAACGCCAGGGCCTGCGTGCTGTTGGTGAATGCAACCGCCTGGAGTCTCTCCTCGCCGAGTTGAGGACTGAGAACCACAAGCTCGAGCAAAAGGCCATGCGTCACCAGCGCGAGTTTGAGGAGGCCAGGGAGTCCGGAGCCAGCGAGGTTCAGCGCACGCGCCGTTCCATGCAGTCCGAGATTGACGAGGCCAACAACCAAGTCAATTATGTTCGACGCGACCTTGAGGAGCAGATCTCCAAGCTTCAGGCTGAACTTGACCAGGCCAATGTTGATGTCGAGTCAGCCAAGGCGCAGGCGGAGATGCTCGTCGAGGAAGTCCAGACAAACAAGACAACTGAGATTGAGCAGCTCAAGGAGAAGCATCAGAATGAGGTCGAGGACCTGCACACCCGCCACGCTATGCAGCTAGGCAACACCGTCGAGGAGGCCCAGAAGGCTGAACAGCACCTACTTGAGCGCCTTAGCTTCTCCGCGTCCAAGACGGAGCATCTTCAAGACCGCGTCGCCCATCTCGAAGAGAAGCTCGAGATTGCCAAGGAAGCTGCTCTTGCAGCTGCCAAGCGCGCCAAGTCGCCTGTTGTCGAGCACGCACAGCCTAATTTCGCTGCCCCTGTCTCTACTGGCGCTGCAGCCCCAGTCACGGCCGCGCCCATGCCGGCTGCGAAGTCCATGGAACTGCCGGAGAAGATCTCGCCGCAGGCGCTCCGTGAATCCATCATGGTGCTCCAGGAGCAGCTGCAGGCGCGCGAACAGCGCATCGAGGAACTCGAGCAAAACATTGAGAGGCTGGATCCTGAAGCGCCAACCAAGATTTCCAAGCGGGACGACGAGATCACATGGCTGCGTGAGCTTCTCGCTGTCAGGCACGCTGACCTTCAGGACATCATCGCTGCTCTCTCTGGCGAAGACTATAACCGCGAGGCCGTGAAGGACGCTGCCATCCGTCTCAAGGCCAACCTCCAAATGGAAGAGCAGGAACGAGAACGAGCTCTGAACGGCGGCTCGGCCATCAACCTGCTACAGGCCGCTTCTCCTCGCATGGCACAGGCTGTTAGCCCCTTCGCTGCCGCTTGGGGAAACTGGCGCAAGTCCCAGCAACAGCAGCAGCAACAACAGCCAAGCTATCGAAGCATTTCTGGTGTCATGTCGTCGCCAGCAGGCCCTGCCTCGAGGAACAACTCGACGCCCTCGCGGTCGACCAGCTCTCAGATGCCCAGCAGCTTCCTCGGTGGACTGCTCACTCCGCCGGCTTCCAACCTACGCCAGACCCCTTCACCCAAGCCCGGACCGAGCCAGCCTACGGCTTTTAACAACACCGGCCGTCGTTTGACTTCAGCTGAGCTCGCACAACGTTCGCGCAAACCCTCTGTCACGGCGAAGCAGGCACAGAAGATGCCGCAGACCAGCTTGCAAGGCGAGCCCACTCCGCCGCGCCGACTGAGCCAGAGCCACCCGGCGACGCCTCCGATGATGCAGCCCAGCTCGTATGACTCGGATGCGCACGCGGGTGACTTTGACGACAACGACTTCTTCGAGGAGGACTAAAATTTGATGTCCTTGAAGCTGTCGCTACTCTTTCCTTTGTCGAAAACGTACATCAAAGAGACGAAGACTGGACCTCCACATACATCCATCCAGAATACCATCAAAACCCAATGCACACAATGTAGATTGATACCCACTTTCTTTCCAGCGAGTACTACATCCCCGAAGCGTATGCGGACTCTGCTCCGATACGCGGGGCTCTGAGACGTCTCGGCTGACGGCCTGTCGTTGTTGGTCTTTTGATTGTACTCTCTCCTGTTTTGCCAGTTTGACTCTTTTTTCTCCTTCCACACTCTCTCTCATTTGTTACTCGCTCTCTCACTCTCTGCATAGCGGGGTCTTCAACGAGGTTTTCAAAAAAAAAGGGTCGGCGGTGGATGGCTGGCTTTTTTTGTCTGCTCTCGCTCTGGTCGATGGTATCTGCTTAGTTCCCGCTCTCTGCTTATCACAGCTCAGGATGCGTTTTGGCTACGGGGTCACCATGTAATGTGTTCCCTGCCGCTGGCCACGTAGGCTGGCTTGTAGTATATAGTAATAATTCTCCACCATTTTTTGCAAACAACTTTGGTTTTCAGGACTACATGACGAGACCATTACACATTGGATCGTGCACTGATTTGCAAGCATGACGCGACGAGTGGTAGTTCCAAGAGGGTATCAATTATTAATCCCATCCAAAAAAAAAAGAGACGAAGGAAACATGTAATCACACAGACTGCGTCACGGGTACACGGCTCATGCTCTCCCCGAAGGCACGGACGAAGGCCGCATCGCATCGACAGAGCACTAGGAGCTGCTCAGCAGCTTCTCCACGGCCCACTTGACGCTAAAGTTGCGCAGGTCCGAGTAGTGCTGGCCGACGCCGACAAAGAGGACGGGGACGTTGGTGGCGTGGACGAGAGAGACGAGGGTGCCGACCATGGTGCCGACCGTGTCGCACTTTGAGATGATGAAGCCGTCGAGGCCGCGGGCGGCGCCAAAGGCGGCGTTGAAGTTGCGGGCCTGGGCGACCGAGTCGGTGCCGACGAGGGCCTCGCCGACCATGAGGATCTTGTCGGGCTTGGCAAAGTTGGCAAACTTTTCGAGCGAGCTCATGAGACGCTGGTCGTTGTGGCGGCGGCCGGCCGTGTCGATGAGGACGACGTCGAAGCCCTCGGCCGCGGCGTGGGCGACGGCGTCGCGGGCCACTTGGGCGGCGTCCTTGCCGTAGCCCTTTTGGTAGAGCTCGACCTTGCCGCCCTCGCGCGCCGTGAGCTCCGTGAGGTTGCGGACGTGCACGGCCAGCTGCTCGACGGCACCCGAGCGGAACGTGTCGCCGGCCGCGATGAGGACGCGGTACTTGTTCTGCAGCAGGAAGAAGCAAATCTTGGAGAGGTTGGTCGACTTGCCGACGCCGTTGACGCCGACGATGGACATGACGTAGGGCCGCGCCGAGCGCAGCGAGACGGCGCTGGGCCGCGTGATGGCGTCAATCTCGCGGAGGAGGTCGAGGGAGCTGGTCGGCGTCAGCATCTTGGTGAGCGACGCTTCCATGGCCGACTGAATCCTCGTGTTGATGCCTGCGTTCTGTCAGCATGTTGCTCTCAAGCGAGGGGGCAGGCTCGCTGCCAGGGGGCAGCAGTGCTTACTCTCAAAGTTGCCCGTCTTGACGCCGAGTAGCTCCTTCTCGACGCCCTCGCACAGCCTGACGGCGGCTTCTCGCGCCACGTTCTTCTTCAGGAGATGCTCCTCCATGCCCTTCATGGCCTTGTTCAGGTCGTCCTGGGTGAGCGTCTTGCCGCCAACCACATTCCGAAACAGGCCCGTGATGGTGTTGAGGCTCGACCCGAGAAGCCCGTTGGCGGGAGCCGTCGCCTTCTCGGCATTGGCCTTTGATTGCGCCGAGGCCAAGATGCTGTGTACCTCGTCGTCCAAGTCCTTGAGCACGAATTGTCCCTTGGACGTGGTGGAGCCCCACGTGGACGATTCGATCTGCTCGACCGCCGTGGAGCGCGCCGTCGCCGGCTCGGCGTCCGAGTCGCTCGCGATCGCCTTGGCCGCGGTGGAGTAATCGAGCTGCACGCCGTCGTCCTCGTCCGCCATGCCGTCGTCGTCCCACTTTCTGCCCTTTTTGGCCGACTTGTTCGTCTTCAGGCGCGGCCTCGAGGCCTCGTCGCCAGAGGACACGGGCGCCGAGCTGGCAGCGTTCTGCACCTTGCGCGCGCGGCGCGACATCTTGCCGCCGGGGCCGGCCTTGCCCACGACGAGGTTGCTTCCGCCGGGGGTCGAGGGGCGCGACACTGTCGGTGTCGCGCCCGGGGTCGAGGCGGCCGATGAGACCTCGTTTGCACCCTGGAGGGCCCGGCCTGGGTAGGGGGTCAGTATTACTGCACCTTGGGGCGTCAATCTGACCAGGGATCAGGGCCTTGAGCATACCTCTGTAGTGTAGACCGGGCGGGAGAGGCGGCTCGTCGCCAAAGTTGCCGGACGCAGCCTCTTCCTGCTGTGGCAGAAGGCCTTGATCACGCGCGTGAACGTCGGCCTTCGCAGTGGTGCCCTCGAGCTCCTTGATCTGCTGGTCAAAGTAGTTGTCGAACTTGTCGCAGTCGACGATGGACGTGCCGGGTTTCTTGAGCTGCTCGCCGTAGAGGTTGACGAAAAGGGTCTTGATGTTGTCGACGAGCTTGTCAATCCACGACAGGTGCAGGAGTGATCGGTAGACGGCCTGCAGGAACACGGAAGTGTGTGTGTTAGTTGGGCCTCGCCGAAGTCTGGGGTGACGATGCGCCATGGCGGGAGGAGGAGGAGGAGGAGGGGTAACGGTGGGGGATTGGGGTTGCGCACCACGAAGATGACACCCAGCTCCTTCACAAAAGTGTACTTGAGAGTGTGCTGGTCGGTCTTGTAGGGAGGGTTTGTCGCTGCCGACTGGTCATCGCGTGTGGCGGCATTGGCACCCTTTTCCTCGATGAAGACGTCGGAGATGAAGCTGTTGATGAGGGACGAGCTGACTTGGGTGTATGACCTTGACCAGAGGACAACGCCAGAGGTTGTGATGATCTCGAATGCGTCCAACATGGTGTGGGATTAGATGAGGATGTATGCAGGAGGTCGGGATGCTGGGGGCGCTTGGAGAGACAGGTTGAGGAGAGGGGAGCAAGAGAGGGAGTGAGTACGTGAGGGCGCAGAGAAGAGACGAGTTGGAGTTATGGAGGCCAACAGGTCTGGAATCTCCGACCCAGCTGTTCCCAAGGTGTTGCTGGCCCCATGCCAATGTGTGCCCCCCTTCTCCCCAGGTGTGTGGCATGAGGTCCGCAGAAGTGGACGAGGCCGGCGATAGCGATAAGAGAATGCCCATCTGGACCCTTCCAGGCCGCCGTGGAAGCTCCAGAGACGTGTTGGCGCACGGCATCCCCGCACTAGTGGGGACCGGTGGCACAATGTTCCGCGCAGGGTCGTCGCACGGTGGGACCCGGGCCGAATGACGCTGTAAATACAGTGCGCAGGCACAGGTAGCTCCAACAGGGAGCTCGGCTCGACCTGGCAGCCCGGACGACCTGGCAGCCTGGAGCTGTGCAGGCTCAACCCTGAAATAAACACCTTGCCAGTTGTAGGTGCATCGCACATTCAACATCACGAACACACCAAGCAGACTCACCCACCACCACGCGCACCGAGACCTTCTCTCGACACAAGAAAACTTCGACGCACCCAAACCAGCAAAACAGCACCGTCTGCTGTGAGGCGCCCTCTGGCTCCCTGCCCACGATGCAGCAGCGGCCGACCACATACGGGCAGTCGCCCCCCTTGCACCACCCCGTCCCGCAACACGTCTCGACAGTCCCCCAGCTCCGGTCTCCCCCTCCACCGGTATCGCAGCAGGGCTCGCAACAAGGCTACGGCGGCAGCCCTTACCAGCAGCAAGGCGGCTCGAGCGGCAATGTCTTTGGCGCATACGGCCAGTTCATGAACGACCCGACGGCGCAGGTCGCGGCACAGTTCGGCCAGACGGCCTTCAAGCATGGCCAGGAGTACATGGAGCAGAACGTGGGTTCCCCCTGACCGGTCCGGTCGCTGCACCCAGCATGGCGAGCCGCGCCCCCAGCTAACACACACGCTCTCTTTCTCTCTGCGCAGTTCAACCGCTACGTCAACGTCAACGCGCTCAAGCACTACTTCAACGTCACCAACTCGTACGTCATTAACAAGATCTTCCTCGTGCTCTTCCCCTGGCGGCACAAGCCCTGGTCGCGCAAACAGGCGACGGGGCCCAACGGCCAGGACGGCTTCTACCTGCCGCCGCGCGACGACGTCAACAGCCCCGACATGTACATCCCCGTCATGGCTCTCGTGACGTATATTCTGCTGTCGACCCTCATCGCCGGTCTCCGCGGCCAGTTCCAGCCCGAGCTCCTCGGCATCACGGCGTCGTGGGGTCTCGTCGTCGTCGTCGTCGAGATTGCCATCCTCAAGCTGGGATGCTACCTCATTGGCATATCCAACGACTCGCAGCTGTACGACCTCATTGCGTACTCGGGCTACAAGTTCATCGGCATCATCGTGACAGTGACGGTCAGCGAGATTGTCAACGGCGGCAAGGGTACCGGTGGCTGGGTGGGCTGGACCGTCTTCCTCTACACGTTCCTCGCCAACTCGTTCTTTTTGGTATGTCCCCCTTTTCTCCTTGGTCCCTTTTTTCTTTTGGCTTGCGTAAGGCGAAACTAGTGCTTGCGTAAGGCGAGTTTAACTAGATTCCCAAGGCTGACACTGGGATAGATGCGGTCGTTGAAGTACGTCCTCCTTCCAGAGAACAACATTCAGGGCGGCGGCATGCAGATGCAGACAGACTCGCGGGCGAAGCGCAACCAGCGGACGCAGTTTCTGTTTGGCTATTCGTATGGCGCGCAGTTGCTGGGCATGTGGGTTCTGACCCGGCCTTGAACTGGGGTGAGATCATCCTCGGCGCGAAAGCAACACACAAACGGTCAACGTATGGGACAGCACCCTTGGCAGAGGCGATGGGAGCCGTCGCGAGCGCCAAGGTGCACCATACGAGCACGACATATCAATTCATGTCAATCCAAGGGGACTGGCTGGCAGGCACGCAAACGTCAAAGGGGGAAAACGGGGGGGAGACGCAGGCTCTGGAGTTAGGCACGGGAGCAGGATGATCACAGGTGTCGCGGGAGGTGCCTCGCATGGGCGTGGCAACAAGCGACGAGTTTCATGACTGGGCGTCAAGCGATTAGATGCATGTCAAAAACAGAAGAGGACTTGTCTTTTCAGGCCAGGCGTGTGGTTCCCAAAGCGTGACATGCTGCGGCTGACCTGTGCGTGGTCCTTGGTCCTGTCCTTGGTTCTGTCCTTGGTTCTGTCCTTGGTCCTCGGCGGAAAGGCGGAAAACTGATGGCGGTGAATCTTCGGCAAAGATCAATGACCCCTCTGCGTCCCCCTCCGCGTCCACACGGTGTCGTCAATGGCTAGTCCCGGACAGGTTTAAACGGGTCGAGTCGCTCCCCCACATTGGCAGTCGCTTGTAGTGCTTGTAGTGGGTGCCGCGCTGCTCAGTACAGCCGCCTCCACAGGCCGTCCGCGAGCAGCTGCCGCTGGGCGCTCGCAGGCAGGGTCGTGGCTGCTGGCGAACCCCACGTCGACCCTCCCTCCACTTTGTCCCAAATGGCGGTCCTACATCCCGTCAGCTGTTGACCAACGCATCCTACTACTCTCGAAAGCTGTCTCCTTTTGCTCGCTGTATATATGCCGTAGAGGCCTGTTCCTTTTTGATTTTTGTTCCGTACAATTTTTTAGACAACTTCTTGTACCTGTTGAGCAAACCAACCGCCAGAGAAGGACGCGCCGCATTTTTAGCTCCTTTTGGCGACTGAGCTCTCTCTCCACCTCCACCAACATCACACCTGCACCCCGGACCGGATCCTCATTGCGACGCCGGGATCACGGCTGATTGATCCGTCGTTGATCGGTGTTCACATATAAAGGCCGATCCTCCACACAACCGACAGCTCGGGTCCCTCGGACTAGCCTCTCTCTCTCTGTCTCTTGCTCGCCTCTGCTGCTCCCCAGAAACACACCGCCGACATGTCTCTGCCACCGATAGTCAGCGTGACGCTCCAGGGCGTCGTCCTGTCGGCGACGTCCAATCTCCTGGCCCAGGCCCTGACGTCGTTCCGCGATGATGTGAGATGCCCCTGGCCGTTCCGCTCGCTGCTTGCCCGACGGCTGACCTTCTCTCCTCCAGAAACCCTTTGTCGTCGACTGGGTCCCCGTCGTGCAGTTCATCATCTGGACCATCGTCAACACGCCGCCGAATTACCTCTGGTACGTCATGGTCGCAGACCAATGCTGATCCTCCAGCTAAAACCTCCCCAACCCCCCCCCCTACTAAGCATTCTTCGCACCGCCTCTGACCAACGTCTCTTTCCAGGCAAGACTTTCTCGAGTCAACCTTTCCCGCCTACCACGCGGCGCCCACGACAGCCGCCGTCGAAAAGGCCGCCCGCTCCGATGACGCCGCCCTCGACCAGGCAGCCGCCCGCTCGGCCCTCGTCGAGCCCAAGCTCAACATCCGCAACACGCTGACCAAGACGCTCCTCGACCAAACAGTCGGCGCCGCCGTCAACACGTTCCTCTTTGCCCTCTTCATGAACGGCCTCAAGGCTGCCATGCGCCGGCCCGCCGGCCTCGACAGCCCCGCCCAGTCGGCCGCCTTTCTCGCCTCGGGCGCCGCCATCGACTACGCCCGCGTCGACTGGCGCGCCGTCCTCGCGCAGGTCCGCCGCGAGTTTGTGCCCATCATCACGGCCGGGTGGCGCCTCTGGCCCGCCGTCAGCCTCGTCAACTTTGCCTTTGTCAAGACGGTGCCCATGCGGAACCTTGTTGGCGGGCTGGCGGGCGTGGGCTGGGGAATTTACATGAGCCTGTTCGCGGCCGAGTGAGGGGCCAGCCTTGGCCTCGACCACGTGGCTGACGTGTGGTCAGAAGGGGGAAAGGGGGGGTGGCTGCAGGAGAACATGGTTCATCACGGAATGTATGCCATGAGGGAGAGACACACACATTTGGGCCAAAAGGGGTGATCCGGCAGGCGTCGCTGACGGGTGCATGAATGCCTCTCCATGTAGGCCGACGAAACGACGGGGATTTTCTTTCAGCAGTGATGTTGCGCATACATAGCCTCGCTCATACGTTCAATTCACATGTTTTCCAACGGGCCCCCGATGGGCCTCTACGGTGTTTTGCCCATGTGCCATGCGTCATGTCGCATCCATCCGCTTCTCACCCCCGTTTCCCATTGACCACCTCCGAACTGCTCCTCCCATGCCGCCCCTTATCAGACAGCACGACATCTTCACGCCTACAAGACGGCCACGTGCCCCGGCTCAAAGTAGATGGACATGATGTCCTCGGGCGGGTTGAGGCCAAACTCGGGCACGAGGGCCTTGAGCTTGGCGTGCGCGGGGCACTCGTCGTCGTACCAGCGCATGTCGGCGAGGCTCGCAAACTCCGTCTTGGCCACAATGGTGTAGCCCTTGGAGCGGGGGTCGGCGAGCGCGGGGCCGACGACGAGGGAGAGGATGTAGGGGGCGCCGTCCTGTGGGGAGGGGGGGTGTCGTCAGCGTTGCTTCTCCTGTTTGCTCGCTCCAGACAGTCTCTGAGCTGATCAAGCTCTTCTTTCCTGCTTCTTTTTTCTTCTCTTTTTTTTTTTTTTTTTTTTTTTTTTTCGGGTATAGCCCTCCACGGGACACATCATTCGAGGCGGCCTGGACCGCCTCTCTGCCACCATCGACAGCGGGCGAAGCACCATGACGGGACAGGGGCGAAACGGGGGGGGGGGGGGGGGGGACAGCAAAGCGCACCTTCTTCTGCTCGGCGGACAGCGTCCTGTAGGCGGCGAGGAGCTTCTCCTGGTGGTCCTTGTTCGGCAGCTTGAACATGGTGACGCGGTGGACGCGGTTCGCCATGGTGACGGTCTGTTGCGGGCTGGTATGCCGTGTCGTCGATGTCGAGAAGCAGGAGCGCGCGGCGAGCGGCTGGCTGTGCGTCCGCGTGCCTGGGGTTCGGCTCTGGACGGAGAGACGGCTCGGAGGAGGAGCGGTCGGGTTCGTGCGGTGCGCAGCCGAGGTGTGGTGGTTCTGCTGGTGGTGGTGGTGCGCGGAAAGCGTCGGGATGCGATGGGGGATGCGGCGGAGCGCTAGCTTCATGCCACGGAGGGACGAGGGGACGAAGAGGGCAGAGGCGGAACTATGTGCCTCGCCGTCGGAGCTCTTGATGATGTTGCTTGCTGTGCGTGGGAAGGGGATGCGAGGTGTGTGTCTACCGTGGTCAATTGGGAGTGGTAGTAGGCTGTGAGGGGCAGGAAGCTGGGGGTGGGGGGGTTAAGTACTTCGCAGTCCGTCAGTCAACCCCCCCCTCGTCCTCCGTTTGGGGATGGAAGGTGAGGCACGACATTACCCCCAGTCGGACGGACCGGAGGGGCGGCGGCGCGCACCATGTTTTGTGCGACGTCCGTAGGCACAGGCGCAGGCGGCAAGCGTAGGCGTAGGGGTGCGGCCAGAAGTACGATGGATCCATCGTCCTCCATCCTTCATCCTCGTCCTGGTCCTGGTCCTTGTGCCGGGTAGGTATCAGCCCAGGCTAGACTAACGCGGCGTGGCCTCCAGCTAAGCTTCCAGATCCCGCCCGTCACCTTCGAGGGGTCCAAGGGGGGGGGGGAGATCCTCGGAGCTCTCTCTACGGCGAACATCTGATCCCTCCCATCCGATGACTTGCCTGCCTCGCTGAATGGACGGCTGGATATACGCGTCGGCTGGATAGACAGCGTAGGTAGATGGGAGCATCATGGCCTTGTGCCCCTCCGTGTACCCGCTCCTGGGCCCCTCAGTGCCCCCCTCTTTCTCACGGTAGCATTTCAAAGCAGAGGCACGGAGATCAACGTGGGAGTATCTAATCATTACGTCTCGCATCCTCTGCTTAGCAATCTTGATGTTTGTCCTCGGTGTCTTCTCTTGCTGCGAGGACGCATGTCGTGACAAGAAATCATGGATCATTTC